TTACAGAAAATCCTTTTAAATCCGCACCTCGTTCTTTTTCTTTACCTGATACGGTTAATGCTTCATCTTACGAAAATCTTCCTTGGTCTCCTGCTGTTAGCTTTTTGGCTAATTTGGCTCAGGCTACAGCTAGTAAACCATTGCCTGATGATGAAGGTCAACAAATTGGTGATTATATCATCGGTAAAATTATCGGTAGTGGAGGTTTCTCTACTGTAAAGGAAGCTATTAGAATGGATGACTATTCTGGAATGGAAAAAGTTGCCGTCAAAATCGTACCAAAAAATCAAGAATCGGACTGTAATGATCGTATTCAGGTAAATTTTATTATTATTATATATATGTATATTATGTATATATAATTTTTATTTTCATATTTTTTATAAAATATATTTTTATATTCATATTTATTTATATTTTATTTATATATTTTTATTCATTTTATTGTTTATTTACTTATATTAATAGGTTCTCCTTGAAAGAGAAATTAGTATTTGGCGCTCTCTTGATCATCCAAATATACTTCCAATGATCTCTTTCCAAGAGGACGAATATGCTACCTATGTGTTTTCCGAATTTTGCCCTGGTGGCACTCTTTTGGACTTTGTAAGGAAAAATAGTAAAGGTGAACATAAAGGACTGGATGAAGATGATGCCCGTAATATCTTCCTACAAATTGCTGAAGGTGTAAGATATTTACATAATGATATGAAACTAGTGCACAAAGATATAAAATTAGATAATATTTTATTAGATAAAGATGATACATGGAAATTATGCGACTTTGGTTTAACTGAATTCCAAAATGATGCAAATGGTTTTGGTAACCTTTCTTCCCTTGAAGAGGAAGCTGGTGGTTCTCTTGCTTATTGTGCTCCAGAACAAACTCGCAGTAAGGCTCCATTAAAGGATCCGGCTGTTGACATATGGAGTTTAGGTGTCGTATTATATGCCCTTGTGGTAAATCATTTACCTTTTGTGGATGATTTCGCTCCACGTTTACAACTAAAAATTATGAACGGACGTTATGACGAATCAGCTCTTTCTGAAGCTGGTGTTAGTGATGATTTAAAAGATTTGTTGAAACAAATTTTTAAAACAAACCCCGCTCAAAGAATATCAATTAATCAAGTACTGGAACATCAATGGTGTCAGCAATAATTTTGATATACATGATTTACCAGGAATTTTTTTTTTTTTTTTTGGTATTGGAAACTTTGCATATTTCTTGTTATTAATCATAATGATAATAAAAAAAAAAACAATTTTACAATGTAATATTATCACATTCTTCAATGCTGTATATCCCTTTTATATATATATTCTATGAACATTTATCTCTTACGTGACTTTTTAATCGTCTATCTTTTTCATTTGTATAAATTTACAACTTCCCCTTATACCCTTTTTTTTTGTATTATTGTTTTGTGTGTTTTTTTTTTTAGTATAGTATTCATTTTTATTCATGTTTTTGGTGGGATTTAGATCGCTCATACGTTATATTTTCCAATGCCTTATATGGTACTCACGATTACTCGTCAAATATCACTAAGTCTGTGGGGTTTTTTTGATTAAGATTATACAAACATAATATATACATATACACATATATATATATATCTTCATGTTATAATAAAAAATAAATTTTTCTTGCTTGACGTAAATAAAAATAATGATCGATTAT